TAGCACGGCTTGGCACGGCTTAGCACGGCTTAGCACGGCTTAGCACGGCTTAGCACGGCTTAGCATTGCTCATTTGCATGCGCCTTGTACTCAGAAAATCATCTCAAAATACGCTTTAAAATTCTCTTGTGCCAAAACGTTCGGCATCAATATGCGTTTTGAACCTTTCTCTATCGATCTATAACAAAAAAAAAATTTTCATTTTCCCGAATGCAAATGATTGCATGCGCCTTGTACTCAGAAAATCATCTCAAAATACTCTTTAAATTTCTCTTGTGCCAAAACGTTCTGCATCAATATGCGTTTTGAACCTTTCCCTGTCGATCTATAACAAAATTTTTTTTTTCATTTTCCCGAAATGAAAGACGGCTTAGCACGGCTTAGCACCGCCTTGTAGAAATTTCTTCACCTCATGAGATGAGCAGGTCAAAACAATGTACATTTGTTTTTAATTTTACAGCAATTTCATGTACTCAACTGATGGCTTAGTGGTAGGACATTTGGTCTGTCTCGATAAACGTTTGGGTTCAAATCCAGTTGAACTCGTGTTTTGCAGGGGACTAACAATATTTTCCCTTATTTATTCTGGCTATTTTGAACCTGGCCCGAACAGATTAAGGTAATCATTCTATATCCTATAATTTCACAAGATTTTCAGGTCTTCCACTCATGGAGTGATGCCGTAGTGGTAGCACGGCTTAGCACGGCTTAGCACGGCTTAGCACGGCTTAGCACGGCTTAGCACGGCTTAGCACGGCTTAGCACGGCTTAGAATGGCTTAGCACGGCTTAGCACGGCTTAGCACGGCTTAGCAGGGCTCAGAAAATCATCTCAAAATACGCTTTAAAATTCTCTTGTGCCAAAACGTTCGGCATCAATATGCGTTTTGAACCTTTCTCTGTCGATCTATAACAAAAAAATTTTTTCGTTTTCTCGAAATGAAAGACGGCTTAGCGCGGCTTAGCACGGCTTAGCATTGCTCCGCATTAGGGGGAAATATGTAGGAATCTACCGTTTGCTTTCGTCCTGGGTGAATGTTTATGGAGAAAAAGCATAAGAATGTTTCAAAGTAATGTCATCGAATAGAGGATTAAGATCACTAGTTCAGCTATGATCAATTCTCAATGTTCATGAACGCGTGGTACAGTGGGATAGAAACGACAGACGTCAAATGAGTAATGGATCGATTCTCGCCGAAGAAATTTTTTTATATTTTAGCACCAAGAAATATTTAAAGAGTAATTCTTTTTTTTTCTCCAAAAATATTTTCTAAGGATGAAAGTAAACGGTATATTCCTACTTGCTTTACCCAAAAGAACACATACAAACTATTTACATCGAATTTAAAGCCCGGTGAAATCAGCTCGTACCTCATTAAAATGCTGCACCGACCCACTAGTATATATAGCTCAGTTCTTTATAGATAATTTAAAGTCCGATGCAATCGGGTGCAAATGGAGAAAATTTCACACAAGGCACCGGCTCATTTCATCGAAATTCACCGGCCTTTAAATCGTCTACAAATAGTTCAAATGTGTTCATTAGGGGAAAATATATAGGAATCTACGGTTTGCTTTCGTCCTGGGTGAATATTTATGGAGAAAAAGCATAAAATATTTCAAAGTAATGTCACCGAATAGAGGATTAAGATCACTAGTTCAATTATGATCAATTCTCAAAGTTCATGAACACGTGGTACAGTGGTGTAGAAACGACAGACGTTAAATGAGCAATGGCTCGATTCTCGCCGAAGAAATTTTTATATATTTTAGCACCAAGAAATATTTGCAAAGTAATTCTTTTTTTTTTCTCCAAAAATATTTTCTCAGGATGAAAGGAAACGGTATATTCCTACTTACTTTACCCAAAAGAACACATACAAGCTATTCACAACGAATTTAAACCCCGGTGAAATCAGCTCGTACCTCATTAAAATGCTGCTCCGACCCACTAGTATATAGCTCAGTTCTTTATAGATAATTTAAAGTCCGATGGAATCGGGTGCAAATGGAGAAAGTTTCACACAAGGCACCGGCTCATTTCATCGAAATTCACCGGCCTTTAAATCGTCTACAAATAGTTCAAATGTGTTCATTAGGGGGAAATATGTCGGAATCTACCGTTTGCTTTCGTCCTGGGTGAATATTTATGGATAAAAAGCATAAAAATATTTCAAAGTAATGTCACCGAATAGAGGATTAAGATCACTAGTTCAGCTATGATCAATTCTCAAAGTTCATGAACACGTGGTACAGTGGTATAGAAAAGACAGACGTCAAATGAGTAATGGATCGATTCTCGCCGAAGAAATTTTTATATATTTTAGCACCAAGAAATATTTGCAAACTAATTCTTTTTTTGCTCCAAAAATATTTTTTCAGGATGAAAGCAAACGGTATATTCCTACTTACTTTACCCAAAAGAACACATACAAGCTATTCACATCGAATTTAAACCCCGGTGAAATCAGCTCGTACCTCATTAAAATGCTGCTCCGACCCACTAGTATATAGCTCAGTTCTTTATAGATAATTTAAAGTGCGATGGAATCGGGTGCAAATGGAGAAAATTTCACACAAGGCACCGGCTCATTTCATCGAAATTCACCGGCCTTTAAATGGTCTACAAATAGTTCAAATGAGTTCATTAGGGGGAAATATGTAGGAATCTACCGTTTGCTTTCGTCCTGGGTGAATATTTGTGGAGAAAAATCATAAAATATTTCAAAGTAATGTCACCGAATAGAGGATTAAGATCACTAGTTCAGCTATGATCAATTCTCAATGTTCATGAACACGTGGTACAGTGGTATAGAAACGACAGACGTCAAATGAGTAATGGATCGATTCTCGCCGAAGAAATTTTTATATATTTTAGCACCAAGAAATATTTGCAAAGTAATTCTTTTTTTTCTCCAAAAATATTTTCTCAGGATGAAAGCAAACGGTATATTCCTACTTACTTTACCCAAAAGAACACATACAAGCTATTCACATCGAATTTAAACCCCGGTGAAATCAGCTCGTACCTCATTAAAATGCTGCTCCGACCCACTAGTATATAGCTCAGTTCTTTATAGATAATTTAAAGTCAGATGGAATCGGGTGAAAATGGAGAAAATTTCACACAAAAGGCACCGGCTCATTTCATCGAAATTCACCGGCCTTTAAATCGTCTACAAATAGTTGAAATGTGTTCATTAGGGGGAAATATGTAGGAATCTACCGTTTGCTTTCGTCCTGGGTGAATATTTATGGAGAAAAAGCATAAAATATTTCAAAGTAATGTCACCGAATAGAGGATTAAGATCGCTAGTTCAGCTATGATCAATTCTCAATGTTCATGAACACGTGGTACAGTGGTATAGTAAACGAGAGACGTCAAATGAGTAATGGATCGATTCTATCCGAAGAAATTTTTATATATTTTAGCACCAAGAAATATTTGCAAATTAATTTTTTTTTTCTCCAAAAATATTTTCTCAGGATGAAAGCAAACGGTATATTCCTATTTACTTTACCCAAAAGAACACATACAAGCTATTCACATCGAATTTAAACCCCGGTGAAATCAGCTCGTACCTCATTAAAATGCTGCTCTGACCCACTAGTATTAAAATGCTTCTCCGACCCACAAGTAGGAATATACCGTTTGCTATCATCCTGAGAAAATATTTTTGAAGAAAAGAAAAAAATTACTTTGCAAATATTTCTTGGCTAAAATATATAAAAATTTCTTCGGCGAGAATCGATCCATTACTCATTTGACGTCTGTCGTTTCTATACCACTGTACCACGTGTTCATGTTCATTGAGAATTGATCATAGCTGACCTAGTGATCTTAATCCTCTATTCGGTGACATTACTTTGAAATATTTTTATGCTTTTTCTCCATAAATATTCACCCAGGAAGAAAGCAAACGGTAGATTCCTACATATTTCCCCCTAATGGACAAATTTGAACTATTTGTAGACGATTTAAAGGCCGGTGAATTTCGATGAAATTGGCCGGTGCCTGATGTGAAATTTTCTTCATTTGCACCCGATTCCATCGGACTTTAAATTATCTATAAAGAACTTAGCTATATACTAGTGGGTCGGAGCAGCATTTTAATGAGGCACGAGCTGATTTCACCGGGCTTTAAATTCGATGTAAATAGCTTGTATGTGTTCTTTTGGGTAAAGTAAGTAGGAATAGACCGTTTGCTTTCATCCTCAGAAAATATTTTTGGAGAAAAAAAAAGAATTACTTTCCAAATATTTCTTGGTGCTAAAATAAAAAAAAACTTCTTCGGCGAGAATCGATCCATTACTCATTTGACGTTTGTCGTTTCTATACCACTGTACCACGTGTTCATGTTCATTGAGAATTGATCATAGCTGAGCTAGTGATCTTAATCCTCTATTCGGTGACATTACTTTGAAATATTTTTATGCTTTTTCTCCATAAATATTCGCCCAGGACAAAAGCAAACGGTAGATTCCTACATATTTCCCCCTAATGGACAAATTTGAAGAGGTAAGTAAAAGTGGGGGGGCTTAGCCCCCCCAGAAAATTTGAATTTTGGGAAAAAATTTTGATAATTACGGAAAAATTTAGGTTATTTTTTGAAAATTTAGGTATGAGGGGACAAATTTGCAATATTTTGTTTAAAAAAAGTTTATTTCGGAAAAAGTTTTTAGATATAAGTCCGAAAAAAATTTTTCGTCCCTTTTTTTGTATATTGTACCCCTAAAATGGTACACTGACCGAAATTTTTTTGGCGACGAGGGGAGGTCGCCGAAAAAATTTAGCCCCCCGAGAATGAAATCTGTTCCGCCGCCGCTGTTGAGAATTGATCACAGCTGAGCTAGTGATCTTAATCCTTTAGTCGGTGACAATCTGTGACAATACTTGAATTGGGGGGTTGGGGACGGTTGGATTCTCCCCCTCCCCCCCTGAGACGAGGAAAGGCGTGGTTACTAAGTTAGGGACGCCATATTGGATTTCTAGATATTCCAGTTCACTTTATCGAAGGTTTTGATGCTTGGTTTTGATGCAAAAATATGGCAGAAGCAAAGAATTTTCTCTACGCTTTTTGTGGAAAACGGAAAGTAAAGCCAACCTACAACAATACTAATACAGCGGACGGTCGCTTTCAATCGCAGGTAAGCTATCCTGATCAAATATTTGCGACGAGTTGTGTTAATAAATTCTCTTTAAATAACTGCTAGCTCTGATCAACTCCCGTGTACAGTCTCTCATCATTTCTTATCAACTTTGAACTGCTTCAAATTATAATGGCAACTATTTTTGCCTGTGGGAATACTGCAGCTATGCAAAAACTGGCTTTACAGTTTGTAATTATTTATTGAGATTTCGAGCACTGATAAAACGGATTTTACTACATCCCGGGCGTTCTTTGTCAGTGCCCGCGATCACAATTAGAATTACCAGCGGTTGAGTTCGCAACTCAATATTCAAACATTTTCAACCAGATAAAAAAAGATTAAAACTTTTTTAAAGCACTTTAGATTTTATACCGATCCCAAACACTAACCGGCCTAACTTTTAAGAGTTAAAAAAGGAAGGAAGAAAAAAATTACAGGAAATTGAGAAAAAGAGCTAAATCAGATAATAAATGTTCGGCATCGATCCCGACCCCGACTGCGTTTCACTTCCGGTACGCAGCGCCTTTACCGCTTGAGCTAACGACAAACTTGGTAAAGATTACCGCAAACAAAAGTTTTTATATTGCTACAAAATACGAAATAACTCCCGTCTGTCCAGTCACTTGGTTATTTTTTATTTGAACTGCTATAAATGTTACTAGCTCATATAAGATCTGTGAAATTAGTGTTAAAACATAAACAGTTTTGTCAAAAAATTAAAAGGCAATATGTCTGGATCAAATAAACTGACTAGAAGCAAACTGATATCTTGAAATATAGATTAACATGCTGACAAACTGTTACAGTTTAATCAGGTTATAAATTCACATCGAGTATTATATAATTTATATTTGGCTTTTAAGATGTTTTCTTTCAAACATTGTGATTTCAGGAAACACTCGATGTTATCATCATATACCGCTGATAATACTAATTGTGATCGCGGGCACTGACAAAGAACGCCCGGGATGTAGTAAAATCCTGATAAAACTGATAATCTCACATGTGAGATTATTTATGATAATTTATTTTACAATTATCGCTTTTCCGTTTAAAAAAATATCGCTTTTCAAAGACTGTTCTTTTTATAATAAACAGAAAAATACATGGATGCTTGGAAATACCATGGCCAGATTTATTTCTCGTGTTGAACATGATATCTCACTCGTTCGCTGCGCTCACTCGTGAGATATCATGTTCAACACTCTAAATTAATCTGGTATTTCCGTGCACCCATGTATTATTCTCTCTATAACCTTAAACTATCCGAAGCATTGTAAAGTAATATTATTTTTTGTTTTACCAGCTGACTATTCCAGGTTTCGAGTACACATCTAAAGGTTTTTCACAGAACAAGAAAGATGCAGAAAGTGCTGCAGCGAAGGATTTTTGTGGTTACTTGATTGGAGCAGGTCTAGTGCCTGCTGAATCTTTGCCCGATAGCGTGTTTGCGGATGAAATGAGTGCGCCAGTCCCGGCATTACCTGCTACGGGTGGCCCAGGACCAGTTCAACAACCATCGCCACAGATGCAACGGCAACCAATGATGCAACCATCACAATCATTTGATGGGCCGCAACAGTCCAACTTTGGTGGACCTTCCTCATTAATGAATGGTGTGCTATGATAATACAATAATTTGTTCATAAAGATTGCTTCTAAGCTGATAACTGGTACCAAGGCTTCAAATTTGAATTTTCCAGCAGTATCCAACTGGATACTAGCAACTTAAAATCTGGTATCCACCCAGAAAATCTAGTATCCCACATTTGAATAATAAATTATTTTTGTACTGTGACCAGAATTTTTTTCAGTATTGCTCAGGATACTGAACTTGTGATTCCAGTATCCAAATTTAAAATCTGGATATCGGATAATGATTTTTTTAAGCTTTCTAAAATCGGCTGTTGATTGGTGTAATCCAGATTAACTTTAGTCTTTATAAATTAAAGTTCTCACACACTGCTGTGTAGCCGCCCTGCAGCTATCTGTCTCAATGTGTGACTATTACAGCTAATACAGCTTTTTATTGGTTACGACAACCCAAAGGTCCCCATACAATATAACTAACAATAAAACCCACAAATTACAAAGTTTGGACTTTTGTCTTGTTCATATCCAGCTATTAATCTGGAAGGGGCAGGTGTGTTTGGTCAAGAAGCAATGGCAGACGCAACAACAGCAGGGCGCATATCCATAGTTTCACAGCTTTTCAAGCAGTTTTAGAAAGTTTAATAACTATCTGGTGGATAATGGTATTCAGCCTTTGTAAAACCAGCCCCAGGGTAGTCAACTTCAGTAATGTTGTCGACCAAATACAAGACTACAGCATCTAATCGAATGAAAAGAATTGACATTAGTTTCTCACTCTGACAATTGCTAGTTGACCAACATCTGACAGTGATTGTTTGAATTTTTTCTTGTATGTGTTTAGCTGCTCGACCTCCACCAAACTTTCAAAGTGGCGAAAGAAACTATCACTACAGCATGTACAACAAAAGACAGTTTGAAGAGGTTAGTAAAGAGCGATTCATTTGAGTGTTGTTGACATAGTGGGCCTGTGGGGGCAACTCCACCCCCCCCCCCCCAATAATTTCTGAAAGCATTTGAACTTAGCTAAATAAGTATGTAACAAAGCTGTGACAATTATATTTCAGCCATGAAAGCATTGCTAGGCTGTAAAGTAAGCCAAAGATTGCATGGAATTTAAGACAACAAAGATTTTTTGTTTCAATGGACAACTTGCATGTTAGACAAATTTTTGATCTTGGCAAAAAAAAGTAAATTCCCATAAAGAACTTATTAAAATTAGTAAAATTGCAAAATTTGGTTGCAAAATGTTGTAAAATACAGAAAATATAGCCTTGCGAAGTTTGCATATTTTCAGTATGTTTGTATTATGTGTGGAAATTGTTACCACTTTTGAGCCGAAAATGGTAACAATTTCCGCACGTAATACAAACATATATAAAATTTGCAAACTTTGCAAGGCTATATTTTCCAAACTTTACAACATTTTGCAATTGCACAATTGCACATTTTGCAATTTTACTAATTTCACGATGTTCTTTTTAGCTGTGGTGTTTGATTCCCTTCTCTTTACTTAGATTAAAATTTAGTCTAACATGAAGTTGTCCATTGCGTGTGAGACAAGCCCTTCCATCATTTTGACTTATTATTTTATTATTTAATATTTTTGATAGGCTGAAGAAGTTGATTTAAATGCACATCTTCATGGTAACTGGACTGTTGCTAATGCTAAGTCACGCTTGCATCAATATTTACAACAGAACAGATGTCCAGCAGATTTTAAATACTCGACTGGAGGCCCAGACCACAACAGGTTTGTCCAGTTCATAACAGGTTCCTCTACATCCTAACTGGTTTGTCCAGATTGCAGCAGATTTAATTCTTACTTTGTTTTCTCATAGGCATTTCTCATGTGAGCTCGCAGTGTTTGTTCGTTCACACAAGAGAAGTAAGCACAACTTATGCACTACTACAATACCATAGTACCATAGTTTATATTCACTTTACGTGTCTGTATTGGGCAGTTTTGATAAGGGCAGCAGATGGTTTTCAACTCAGAAATGTCTACACTTCAAGAGCAAGCAAATTAAACTGCATCTTTTAATTTTTATCATTTTCATTCAAACACTACATATGGTGAAAATTAATTGATAGCTGCTGATTGACAGAGTTTGAAATAACTGCCTGTCTACCAGTCAATTCTAAGCGATTTTCACAAATGTCATGCATAGAGATAGCTTAACAAGCTTCTGTTGGCAGGGATGTAACTACCTGAAAAATACAAGGAGAATTTCAACGTTTTTCGAGTGGAGGCCCTTTGTCTGGAGTTACTAGTGGAGATAGCTTGCCTGTCTCAAGTTGAGAACATGCCAATTCTCCAATTGTATTAACAAATACACAAATTGTCACCATGGACTGGTAAAACATTAGGAACATTTCTAACCTTGGTTGACCACCACCTGCTGCACAATAGCACTTGGTGAAAACCAACCATTGCTTATACTTGCTGTATATTGTGAGAATACTGACAAGCTTGCAATATTTTAAATTTCTAGATATAAAATCCAAAGAACTTGCCTCGACAAAGAAACAGGCTGCACAGAAAGTAGCTTTAAGCTTAGTGAGGCAGTTGTTTCATCTGGGAGCCATCGAAGGCGCTGAACCTGGACAGCTACAAGCAAAGAAATTGAAATCAGACGAGGTTTGCAGGGGTATTTTAGGTTGTTGGGGGTTGGGTGGGAGCTTCCCCCTAAATTTCAATGGAGTTTATTTGTCCCCTCTCAAGTCCCCAGACACATCTAACCCAATTCTATTCTGAGGTAACTGTGGCCATTATTAGGAATCTGGAATGTCACAGTTACTGGACAAACAAACCAAATTTATTGAATAGAGATGCTGCTTGATAAACCTTAGTCTTTCACTAGATTACTAGGCAACTAAGGCAAGACATTTGTGCAGGAAATGGGCAATTCCAGCTGTGGTGGAATTGTGGTGATGGATTTTGTTCTTAGTCTATAAACTAAATTTTGATCTGGGCAAGAGGAACAAAATCCATCACCACAGCTAGAAAGAGCATGTTAAAATGAGTAAAATTGCAAAGTTTGGCCGGGAAATGTTATAAAATGCGGAAAATATAGCCCTGCGAAATTTGCAAATTTTGTATTAATTTGTATTACGCTCGGGAAAATGCACCACATGTGGGCCGAAAGTGGTGCAAATTCCCGTGAATAATACACATTAATACAAAATTTGCAAATTTCGTAGGGCTATATTTCCCTCATTTTACAACATTTCGCAACGAAACTTAGCAATTTTACTAATTTTCAACATGCTCTTTCTAGTTTCTAGCTGTGGTGATGTATTTTGTTCTTCTTGCCTAGATCAAAATTCAGTCTATAGTATCTTTCGCTATTTACAGCTTGATCCAATTGATGTTGGTATTAGTCCTGAGTTGGAAGGTCAGATCACCACTTTGCTGAAAGATCTTAGCATTGAGCCTGTTCCAGAGGTAGGGTTATGTATGACTATCTATCATCAAAGTCATCTTTTTCAGTCATGTGTACTTCAAGCAAAAAAAGATTCCATTTCCACTTAGGAAAATTTTCCGCAGAAAGAACAGACACAAATTTTCCGTCGGAAAATAATTTTGAAGTTGAAAATTTTCAACTTTTAACAATGTTGTTTTCGGAACATTTTCTGTCCATGGAAGTTTTTCTTGAGTGCAAGTGGACCTTTATGAACCACAATCTTTTGTCCAGAGTTTCAGCTCTGTTCCTGTCCCTGTCCTGAACTAAGATGAAACTCTGGGAAAAACTTGTATTGATAACTGACAAGAAGAGTGAAGAGAAGCATTCTTTCCAAAATATTTATTCATGATGGAACATAAAATTGTGTCAAATAATAGTAATACTCTTTGACAACTAACTTGATGTACTCTAAAGACATGGTGGTTAAGGTTTTGCTCCTGGTTCAATTTGACCACCACTTGTTCTTTGAGTGAATCTTATGACATGAATATCATTCTTTTATTGTTGGCTGAACTGTGGTAATGAAAGTGTGCAAGTACCACTAATTCAGCCAGAATAGCCTTTGAAGCTGATCACCTTCATAACAGGCTTATTAGCACGACAAGAGATTCTGTCAAAACACTGCAATGGAAAAAGCAATATAGAAATGATCTTTGCAGCTGGTCCGAAAACTCTTAACACAACAATAGTTTGGAGAGCAAGTGGAATGTCATGTTTTCTTGTGTTTGTCTTGCAAATCCTACATTTCCCATGCTCCTCACACATTGTTCTCAACTATTTTTGACCAGCTGCAATGGACCTGTTAGACCTCCAGTTTAAACGTATCATTTCCACTGCAGTGTTTTGATGGCTATCTCTTTATTGTAGAATATCGCAATTGTGGACACAATTTTATGTTTCATTATTTCTCAATGGAAACAATGCTTCTCTTCAGGTTAGAAAAGGTGAATCTTCATTATGATCACAAAATGATGACATTTATACTGTACAATTCTACTTATAAAGCTCCTGGAAATGTCATAAGAACACAGGCAATGTTCTTTCCTTCTGCATGAACGGGTGATAGCCATTGAACTATAAATAAACTGGAAGGCTAACTCAGGGGGGGGGGGG